TGATGTGCAAATGCTTAAGTGCTGCCTCTCGCAGAAGCCTTGTGCTCGGCGTGCCGTGTCGTGCTCTAGTCCAGGGCCTTATATACCGACCTCTGGCGTCGCCTGTAGGTGCTGGGTGCCGTTCTCTGTCTTCTGAACCCCAAACTGGTCATTTATGTCCCCGAAGATCATCGGCATGGTCCTAGTCCCCAGACGCCTCATGGTGCTCTCAAGGTACCTCGCGATGGCCTCTGAAGCGTTGTTCCTCTGGAGCTGTGTTCCCCAAGACCTCGGCGGGAAATATACTCCTGCTACGAAGTAGTCCTGGCCCCCTTGTCGAACCCGAAGAGCCCCTACTCTTCCAAAAAGCTGGCTGCTAGCGGGGGGGTCGTAGACCTTAGTAAGGTGTTTAGCCTGCAATCGTCTCCCAAGAAAGACTGATATCCCGCAGCTTCTGCTTGAATGGGTTCCCTTCTTCCAGCCGAGCCGTATCTCTGTGTGACGTTCGTGTCTATACCGTGTGTGCCCTTGGTCTACTCCATGTACTTGTGTCCCCACGGCGATGTCGTGGTGCTTGAACGCTTTACTCAGGATGGTGGCCCTGCCTCCCTTGAAACTCTGCACCTTGTACCCGACAGCTTTCAACAATCACCACCCGCCAAACCACCCCAACCCAACCCGAAGGCCTCAATTTGCCCTCCATTTCCAGTTGGGGGGGGTCGGGGAACGTTGAAAAAACACACATGGAACCCGTACCCCCCCAACCCGAAATTCGATTCAAATTCGGGTCTTCGGGTTGGGTTGGGGTGGTCTGGTAGGTGGTCAAACAAAGAGAAACGAGATGCCGCCATGGGCGCGGCGTGGCCCCCGGCCGCGGCGAGGGAGGCGGCGGGCGCGGGCGGTGCGAGTCCCCCACGTAGGGCGTCCGTGGGGTTAGCCCGCCTTGGGCCCACGCTGGAGGAGGAGGGGGAGGAGGGGGAGGGGGAGGAGGGGGAGGGGGAGGAGGAGGAGGAGGAGGGGGCGGAGGGGGAGGAGGGGAGAGGAGGAGGGGGAGGGGGAGGAGGAGGAGGAGGAGGAGGAGGAGGAGGAGAGGAGGAGGAGGAGAGGAGGAGGAGGAGGAGGAGGAGGAGGAGGAGGAGGAGGAGGAGGAGGAGGAGGAGGGAGGAGGAGGAGGGGGAGGGGGGGGAGGGGCTCCAGACTCGCGGGGCCCGCGCCCCCCCGCCCCCCCCCCCGCCCCCCAGGCAGAGGGGGCGGGCGCGGGCGGGCGGGCGACGACGGGGGCGCGGGGGCAGAACGGGCATGGCGGTGGCGGTAGGGGATGGGGCGGTGGCGGGGCTCGTCTGGGGTGGGGCACGGGGGGAGAGTGATCCAAGAGAGGGTGCTGGGGGCAGGGGACGTGGTCATCTCCCCTCGTAGGTTCCACAGCTCTTCCGAAAGGAAGCCTGCATGATCAAGGAGGGGGTGTGGACAGGTGGGGTGTGGACAGGGATGGGGATGCAGACGGATGGTTGGACTGACGAGGTCGAGAGAGGATGGGGAGGCTATGGGCAACGAGAATGGAAGGGTGGGATTGGTGGGTCTGTGGGTGGGAAGGAGGAGGGGTGGCCGGAGGGAGCGAGTTGGCAGGGGATGGGTGGATGAAGAGAGGCAGAGAGGGAGGAATATCATAAGAGGGGGACGAAGCGAGGAAGGGAAAGAGGCAGAGAGGGGAAGGGAAGAGAAGGGGAAGCTAGGAGAGAGGCGTGAGGCAATCTGGGTGTGTTCACACCAAGTTGGCACTCTACCCCTCCCACTCATCCCATCCCATCGCGCTGTACCCTACTCGGTCTGCTGGCAGGGGGCTTCTGGGAATCCCTGGACCTCGCACGGGACTTGCAGGAGCTGATGTGTCGGAATGCGCAGAGGGGGGGGGGGCTGGCAAGGGTCAATCCCTGGACCTCACATGGGACTTGCAGGAGCTGATGTGTCGGAATGCGCAGAGGGGGCCGGGGGGGGCACGGGATGCCACGCACGGGGCCGGGGCGGCGCACGGTCGGCCGGTCGGAGTCGGGGGAGAGCACGGGGGTGCACGGTCGGGCAGGGGAGGCACGGTCGGTCGGTCGGAGCGAGCAGAGGGGAGAGGGGGGGGGCGCAGTCGGGCAGGGGGGGGGGGGGGGGCGCGGTCGGTCGCTCCGGAAAAAGAAGAAGGGGGGGGGGGGCACCGAGGAGCGGGGGCAGGCACGGGGTGCCAGGGTCCGGGGGGGGAGGTGCGCAGCCGGTCGGCTGGACTCAGCAGAGGGCGGGCGCCACGGGGGGAAGGGCGGGGGCACGACGGGCCACGGCCAAGCAGGGCGAGAGGGCACGGTCGTTCGGTCGGGATGCGCAGAGGGGGGGGGGCGCCATGGGGGAGAAGGGGGCACAGGGGCCGCGGTTGGGCAGGGGGGGGGCCTGCACGGTTGGTGCGTCGGAATAAAGCAGAGGTGGCGGCACGGGAGGATGGGGGAGAGGCACCGGGGGCACGGTCGGGGGCGGGAGGGGCACGGTCGGCCGGTCGGAAAAGGCAGGGGGGGGAGCACGGGGGGGAAAGGAGTAGGGGGCATGGGGGGTGGCACGGTCGTGCCGGGGGGGGGGGGGGGGGGGGGAGCACGGCCGGTCGGTCGGAATGAAGCAGAGGGAGGCCGCGGGGGGAAGGGGGGGGAGCTCGAGAGGTCGCGGACGGGCAGCGGGGGGGGAGGAGGGTACGGTCGGTCGGTCGGGGTAAGCAGGGTAAGCAGAGGGGGGGGGGGGGGCACAGGGGGACGGGGAAGGGGGGTGCGGGGTGCCACGGTCGGGCAGGGAGGGGCACGGTCGGCCGGTCGGAATAACGCAGAGGGGGGGCACGGAGGGAAGGCGGGGGTGCGCGGGGGGCCATTGTCGAGCGGGGGGGCACGGTCGGCCTGTCCGAAAAAAAGACCAGAGAAAAAGTCCTTGCGAGCTCCAGGATCTTCCCTTGGGCCCTACGGCGGCAATCGCCGTGTTGCTGCAAAGGTGCATTGCTCTCTTGCTGGATGCTTGGACATCAGTGCCAGTGATGCACGTGCTGGCGGCAAGGGCTCCGGCTGCTCGGGCTCTCGTTCGGGTGCCTTCGGGGAGCCGCCCGATGCGCGGGAGTCCGGCGACAGCTCGTCGTGCCTTGGCATCGGCGGTGGCCTCGAGGTTCAGGTGCTTGGCATCGCTCGGACGTGTGCCTTTTGCCTTCGGCGAGGACCATCGAGGAGCATCCTTGATCATTTGGCGAGAAAGCCACGCACGAAACCGAAAAAGACAGAGGGAATGGACGTCCAAGCGATGGCGAGGGTGGGCGTCGCCCGCTGCGGTTGCAGCGTTGGTGCAGCTCCTTACCAGCCTCGCCCGGTGGCTGGCTTGAAGCGGATGGCCGCATGACTGAAGGGCGGCCACCAGGCGGTGGAGCCGTGCGCCCACGGCCTGGCGAGCCACTCTGCCAGGGGTAATATTTTCAGGAGGGGGAAAAAAAACACAGACACAATGCATCGTCGAGTCCCAGGAAGATATGGCCAGGGGGGGGGCAAGACAGAGACTCAGGAGATATGGGAAAATCTGGGGAATATTTGTATTTGTGTGTGTACTTATTGGTGTGTCCCAGGGCCCCTTCAAGTTTTTTGGCCCGGCAGCCGGCCGAGATGGACAGACGCGCCGGAAGACATCTTTGGAGCTCCTCGGCCGCGGGGGCCGCGGAGTTTTTTGCGCCGTCGGCAAGCGTGTGAAGCCCACGCAGCGAGGCACGCGCCGGCGCGGTCGCTGGGTCCATGCGAGCATGAGGAGCAGGAGGGAAAAACCCACGCAGACAAAATTAATCGTCGATCGCCAGGAAAATATACGAAAATATGGGAATGGGGCGGGAAGACAAAAAGCTACAAAATATGGGAAAATATGGGGAATCGTTGAATTTGTATGTATTTATTTGTGTGTCCTTGGGCCCCTTGAGAGGAGCTCGATGTCTCGGGCCGGACGAAAGCGGGGGATTGGGAAAGGGGGGGTTACGAAGTCTGCTGCGTGCAGCTGGTTTCGGCCTCGCCGAGGGGCCCATTCCTCGACGCATGGCCGCCTCCGGCGCCGGCGGTGCGCACCACGGGTGTTGTGGAGCAAGCTCTTCCCGTGCGGATGGATCTCTGGTGGTTATCGTTCAAGTGCCGCCTGACTTGCGCGACTTCGGGCGGACGTCCGGCGCGCAGCGCCAGGCTGAGGGAGACGTCTGCAACGAGGTAGTCGAATCACTTTTGCCAGTTTAGCGCAGCCCCCACCAAAGGGACTTGGAGGTGGCGTGCGTGTTCGACTTGCCAGAGTCGAGCTGACATGCCCGATCGTGTCGTGTGGCACCGCGCCGAAGCTCGCTGGGTGGATCCAGTGGGCTCTCTAGTTTGCAGGGTTGCGGTAAGCTGGTGTTTCCCAGACGTACATCCATATATGGACATGACGGAGAGTAAACGTTGGTCGGTGGGGAGCTCGCGTCTTCTTTTTCCGGAGGCACGGGGCTGGCATGTGCAGAAGAGGTATGGGTTTGGCATGTGCAGAAGAGGCTCTGGCACTTGCCCCACGCGTTGAGTTGTCTTCAGCGCTTTGGCGAAGAGATGGAGGGCTCCGTCGGGGAGCGTTTGGGTTTCTTTAGTAGTCCACGCGTCGATGCCCCCAGCCCTGGTGGCGGGTCGGGTCCAGATGAAGTGGATCAGGGCCTCGCCAGTCATGACGAACGGCTGGGCTGGGGGAGAAAGAGACGGATGAGTTCAGGGGGAGGTCTGGGGCGAGGATGGGTGCGATAAGTTGAAGGCGATCGCAGAGATCGAGCGCAGAGTTTTGTGATAATGCCAGGTCAGCCTTCTACTTCTCTCTTCCCTCTCACACCATCTTATTCACTACTTCCCCTCATCCCCCTCCTCCCCCACGCCTCCCTGCATCCTCACTCCTTCTCCCCGTGTGGGGATAGGGAGGGGGAATAGTGGAGGGTCAAGTTCTAGCGAGCGTCAGCTCCGGCGTCACCCGCCGAGGGACCTCGGCATCGTGGAGGCAGAGTGCGGCGTGCAGGTCCCCAGGGCAGAACATGGCAGGCCTCTGCCCGCTGTCAGCCCCTGCTGGAAGCCCGCCCAGTGGCCCCTCGTCCTCTCCCTCCCGCGTTCCCTCCCCTCTTCACCCCCGCTCCGACTCGAACGCCTGTGCACGTTCTCGCCGTGTCGTCCCAGCCTCCGATCAGCTATCGACCTGCCCGCCTTACCTGCCGAATTGGCAACTGGTTGCGCCAGGAATGACGGCCCAATGGACTCTGACATGCTATCTCGCTCGTTCTCTCTCTCTCTCTCTTTCTCTTGTTTCACTCTCTCTCTCTCTCTCTATTTCTTCCCCTCCTTCTTTCTACTTCTCTCTCTCTCTATCCCCCTCTCTCTCTTTCTCTCCCCTCTCCGCCCGATCCGCCCCTCTCTCTATCCCTCTCTCTCTCTCTCCCTCTCCCTCCCTCCCTCCCTCCCTCCCTCCCTCCCTTCTATAAAGGGGGCGGGAGCGGGACGGGGGCCAGCAGGTACAGTCGGGGCGCTGAAGAAGGAACCCTTTTCGTTGGGGAGGGGCTCCGTGTTCCTTGATTTTTTCACAGTTTGCCTTAGGTTTTCCTGAGGTTTTCGATGGGACATCGAACTTCAACTGATGAGAGAAAGGGGCCTCGTTCCTGATTTGGGGTTCCTTAGGTCAACGTCCCGACCGTATGCCCAGATGCCCGGGAGAAGGCTCCCGCTCCACCGCCAGGTCCACCGCGCCTGCGGCGCGTGGTGGGTGGCGGCGGGCTCTGCGGCTGCCGCGGCAGAGGCCGCGGAGCTGCTGCGGCGCGTGGCGCGCTTCTACGCGGGGCCGCCCGCCCGCGAGCCCGCGGCGGCGGCGGCGGACGTGACCGGGGAGGGCGCCTCGACCGCCGGGGGGGCGGTCAAAAAGCATGGCATCGCCCACTCAGACCATCAGAGGAGGGCAGGGTGAGACAAGGGTGGCGTTTCTGCCTTTTTTCAAAGGCAGAAAAAAACGCCCCTACCCTGGTTTACGAGGCGCTGTGCGCTGAAACTCCTGTGGGCTGACAGGGGAAACCCTGCGTGATGTGCCGCATCCTGGCGGCTCTAGGCTTTGGGGGTTCCCAGGAGGTTTACAGACCACGCACTTGTAATCCAGGGTAGGGTCGTTTTTTCATCTTTCACATTCAGACCATCAGAGGAGGGCAGGGTGAGGCAAGGGTGGCGTTTTTGCCTTGTTCGCCTCCGAGGGGCCTCCTCGTCGCCACGGCCGGACGCAGCGTGAAACAAATCGGTGCGTTTGGACCCCGGGAGGGGTCCGGGGACCGGTTCTGAGCCGATTTGGCCACCGTTGTCTCACGGCCGTTGTCGCACGCTGCCCTCCTCCGAGACCGAGTGACTCAGGGGCGGCCCTGGCAGGGCGGCAGGCTTCGCCAGCTGCTCACGCGGGTGCTCGCAGGGCCTGGAACGCGTGGGGTGGATCCCTCCAGCACGCGGGGCCCGTTTCCCAGTCAGTATGCTCCAGCCGCTTGGTCTTTGGATCTCGCGTCGTCGTTCCCATCTGGTGCGGGGCCCCTGCCAGGTGGGGTTGGCCTCCCCAACAGGCTGGATTCCACTCTCGTGCGCAGGGTTTGTCGACTACATCTTAGCCTGCCCAGGCTAAGACAGCGTTTCGTAATTGAATTCTTTACGCTTCGCGTACCCCCACCAGCCCATCTCACAGCAGCACCTCTTGTGAAGCATGCCGACAGTGGTGTGTGTCAGGACAGGATAACCCAAGATTTTCGTACAATCAATGTTTGTTTCATGAAGGCAGAGAAGCGCTGTTCCCTCCGAGCGCCGAAATGGGGCCGAAACGTAGAGTATATTATATCGGCCACGTGTTGTTGTGATGCATATTGCACTCCTTCCCCAAGTGGCCCCATAGAGTAGATTAAATTGGCCACTTGTTGTTATGATGCATGTTTCACTCCTTGCCCCATTGGCCCCGCCCTCGTTGTAGCAGCGTTGTGGCGGCTATCGCTCGAGGACATGCAGGCACGCCAGAGATAATGCGAGTGTTCGCGTCTGTGTGCGTTGCAGATATGTGAGTCGTTCCAGCTCTTCGTGGTATGAGTCGTTGGGGCCCCTCGTCCTTCCTTGTGTAACTCCTTCGGGCCCCTCATTGTGTGTACGTCGTTCGGGCTCCTCGTGGTGTGAGTCCCCTCCTTGTGTGTGAGTCGTTCGGTCCCCTCCTCCTGGTGTAACTCGTTCGGGTTCCTCGTGGTGTGAGTCGTTCGGGGCCCGCGTCGTGGTGTGAGTCGTTCGGGCTCCTCGTGGTGTGAGTCGTTCGGGCGCCTCGTCTTGGTGTGAGGCGTTCGGGCCCTTCCTTGTGGTGTGACTCGTTCGGGCTCCTCGTGGTGTGAGTCGTTGGGGTCTGTCGTCCTGGTGTGAGTCGTTCGGGCTCCTCGTTGGGCCTGTTGGGGGCCTCTTGGAGCTCTTGGGGCGTCTGGGGGCCTCTTGGGGGCCTCTTGGGGGCGTCTTGGGGGCCTCTTGGAGCCTCTTGGGGCCTCTTGGGGGCCTCTTGGGAGCCTCGAGGGGACCTCTAGGGGCCTCTGGGGGGCCTCTTGGGGGCCTCCTGGAGGCCTCTTGGGAGCCTCCTGGGGGCCTCATGGGGCTATCTTGGGGTCTCTTGCGACCTCCTCAGAAGCGCTAGTAAGCGCTGACCCCTGAGAAGGACAAAATCAGCCCAAAACCTTCGTAACATCAATGATTTTGCTAAGAAGGAAGAGGAACGCGGCCCCCTTCAGAAGGCCAACATGGGGCCAACACCGTAGTAAAATCCATGTTTTTTTACTTCAACGACGAGTTCAGGCGCCAAACTCCCTCCCCCCCTCGGGGCCAGAATCCTCGTGAGGGTCGTCGTTTTTTGGCCCTCCGAGGAGTCGAAAAAGACCCCTCCAACGACCCGCGGGGCACCCTCTCCAGGTCCAGGGGGAGGGGGTAGGGGGAGGGGTAAGGCCCTCCCCGAAGGGGAAGAAGGGGGGTTGGGGGGTTGAGGACAGAGAAAGTTCGCTAAACCACTCACGCCCAAAGGGCTGGTGGGATTCTTTCTGTCTTCCGCTGCTAGGTTCGCACTCGGCGAGAGGATTCCCTCAGCAGTGTTTGCACTCAGATATCATATTGTTGATATCCCGCGGATCAGGTTATCGCAATTTCTGGTGGCCGGTTTCTTTCCTGTGGCCTCGCTTGGGTTCCTGTGTTGCTTATCTCGCTGGCCCTGATTGCTGGACTTTCTGGTGGCCGCTTACTTTTCTATGGTTTCTATGGCTTCTGTGGTCGCATGGCCTCCTGCGACTTTCCTCCCATTGTGCGTAGTTGACGCACTTTCTGGCGGCCGTTTTGTTTCATATGGCGTCCTATTTCCTTGGTTTCCTCCCCAACTGGCTCTGGTTGTAGCATTTTCAGGTGGTCGCTTGGCTTCATGTGGCGTCTTATTGCCTTGGTTTCCTCCCCAACTGGCCCTGGTTGTAGCATTTTCAGGTGGTCGCTTGGCTTCACATGGATTCCTGTAGCTTTCTCATTCCCTGGCTCTGGTGGCCGCGATTTCTCGTGGCTGCTCTGCCTCTCGTGTCTTCTTATGGCTTCCTCCCCGACTGATCCTGGTTGTCGCTCTTTCTTGTGGTCGCTTTGACTTCCCACGGCCTCCTTTGGCTTTCGGCTTCCCCTCCCACCATCCTTGACTCCAAAGTGAGCTGGGACAAAGGCGAGAGATATTGAGCGTTTGTCCGCGGCCGCTTGGGTTCAAGCGGCATGACTGCGGCTCATCGCGAGGCACATTACTTGCCATTGAGACCGAACATATATTCGCTTGAAATGGCCGTCGCATCCGCGACGACCTCCTACGTCTGCGACTATCGTTACTTCGGTACAACAGAGTTGGATATGGGCTTCGCCTTAGGCGAAGCTTCTGGTTGGGCCTCCCAACCTTTTTTTCAAACTTGGTAGCGGAGCTGACCTATGGTGATCAGCTCTAGCTCTACTCCTCACCATCCACGGCACTATCCGGTGGACTACTGACATGATGGAACATCAGGGTGCAGTGGGTCTGTGCGGAGGGTTTTACATAACTACGCATAACCGCAAGGGAAACTTGCAATGCTACTTCTGCTTTCGCGGAGGCCTCTTACTTGAGTCCTACATCCCTGCGCTACTACACTCCTGAAGTCCACCCACCTAGTCCAATTGGAAACTTTTTTGGAGACGCCACGCATTGCAACATGCGATGCGATATTATGCCGCCTCCACTCCCACGCAGGCTTACAACAAAATAACACAAACCCCAGCCAGTATTATCTGACCACGACCGACGGGGCCATTGGATTGGCATTACTATATTGGACCTTCTATGGGTCGCTATCGGGCGCGCTGTGGGACACATGCGTGCCGGAGACGACGCAAGAGCAACCGGCCCCCACTGGGACCCGGCCGGCCAAGTACCTTTCTGCGAATTCGCTCGAGAGGCAAATGCTTGGATCAACGTGACCACAGGCACTATGACGCCCTCCCAACAGGCTGCAGCAGTGCAGCGTGGTCAGGGAGGTCTCGCACGGACCATTGCCATGAGAGTTCCCCCGGCAGTCATCAATTTTGGCGTTAACATTGGTGGTCGCCACACCGATGGCGTCACCTATATCGTGTTCCTCCTCGGCACGAAGTTTGAGAACGCAGAGGAGGAACGCCAAGTTAACTCGGGATCGGCTCTCATTGACTTTCGCGCCCATGCGGGAGAACGGATCGACCAGACATTAGCACGCTTCAAAATAGCCCGCTATGAAGTTGAGGCGGCAGGCTTTAACTTCCCAGCTTCCAAATCCTAACAGTCATTCGGCTCAGGGCTTCAGGAGTGGGGACGTCGCGTGCACAACTACTCCTACAGCCACTTCTCCACCAAATGCCGAGGAACCAACAACAGTTTGATGCTTTACTCGAACGCACGAGGTCCTATGCCCACATTGCTGGGCGAAATCCTGGCAATATTGGTGGTATCTTTAGCCGCGGTCACCGCACCGAAACCTTCCATCCTGACACTAATGCAAGGCAGCATGTTACAAATGTTCGGAAAGACGATCCGCACACCACGGAGACCACCGCCCAACTAGCCCGAAATGGTGGTCCGCCTACGGGGTCGCAAGACTCCTGGGCTAGATATCAGGGACCGTCGGCAATGGCGGCCCCATACACAAGCCACTACCCTTGTAGGCTCAGCGGGGCAACCCGCCGAGTTGGACTTTGACTCTGGAACCGACGCCGACGCGTCATCTGATGACGGAACTTGTGCCCTAGCCTATATGATTCCGACATGCTCACATATCTCACAGAAGAGCAACAGGCGCACTGGCTACTTCTAGGATGCCCGAACACACAAACTCCGTTGGCGACGATGTATGGAGACGCCAGTCTGTAAGATAAAGCGTACTATCCGACGGGCGTTTCGATCAGAAGGCGAGGGCCGAGGCAAGGGTAAAGGCAAACGAACGACGGTGACTACGCTGCAGACGTTGGTTGGCGTTTCTGGCATCCCTTACTGATCTACATTATGAAGAAATATTTCTGGGGACATGTAGAGGCCGCAGGCGCGCCTCAGGAAAGATTAAGGGGCGTCGGGGCAAGCCGAAAGATGCGAACGGTAAAACCATGGAATGTGAGATCTGCCGTAGTACGCAGCACTCCCGCCGTGAATGCCCCCAAGGTGATGGGAGAGGCAGGGGTCCGTCAATGCATTTGGCACAAGACGATTCAGACATGCAGTATGCCGACTGGGAGACGTTATTGGCCGACCTCGCAGACAATCCCACCGCAGCGGCTAACTTCATGGTTGCCAGGCATCTAAGTGCCAGCATCTCCCTCGAGAGATGCGCCGATGAACTCTTCGAGGAGATCTATGTTGGCCATGGCGAGGTTAACCTGGCAGACTGGCTAGGCACACCCATCGCGGGGCAACCTGCGCATATCGAGTTCGGCGAGGATTTCCTCATGCCCGCCGACGCAGACTACGATGTGGCGGGGATACCTGCGGATTCTGAAGCTACAGTTCCAGCGACAGAAGAGGAGATGTAATTGATGCCCCATCCTCAGGCCATTGGCAATCCGATGAACATAGAATCATATTACGGTGATCATGCGCGGAGAAACCCGCGAGATGCTGGCGACCTCTCAGAGCGCATCCAGTGCGAACTTGGGCATGAGGAAGATCCTCATCTTACGTTCGTGGCCCATGAGCGGTCTCCGCGCCGCCATGAGCGGCCCGCTAGTCGCCCGGTCTGGAGACGCGCGAAGCGCGCAGATGACGACGAAGACGAATGGGAAGCTGAGGACCGTCGCATGCAGCGCCACGGTCGCGGCCACTCACGCGGGCGCTCGCGCGAGCGCTCCAGCGGCGCCCAGCGCCCCCGCCCTCCTGGCGCGAGGGCCCCAAGGACTCCATCGAGGAGGGAGCGCTCGCGGGGAAACCCGCCTCAGATGGACAGCCGTCCGGCTGCGCCCGAAGCAGGAGGCGCGCAACGCCTCGTCAGTTATGGCGATCATGGGCTGGCTCGCCCGCGCACGCCCCCCAACGCGATGCAGTGCTGGCTCGACCGAGGCAGGGCCGAACACGATCTTCGCCACTGGCGTGTACTTCGCCATGTCGAGCGGAATGACGAAGGTGAGATCGCCCGCTCCAACGGAGGCAAGGGCACCAAGACACCAGCTAACCTTGACAGACGGGACCTCAAGAGGGCCGCCATCAGTGACCGGAAGACCTACTGGTGCACCGTCTGTCCTTGCGAACATTTTGCAGGCCACAAGCCCTCGCGTCCGATAAGGCGACCATCAGCGAGCCCCAGCCTTGACAGTGCCCCATGGGTCTGGTCTCACGGAGATGGTCTGGGTCGCAGAGAGGATCCGACTAATCATTCACCTGCAGAATGCTCGACTGAAGCTGACTGCTAGCCGATTGCTGGGAGAGAGGTCAATCGGATCGAGCGGATTTGGCAGCGCCTCGACATAAATCGCCGCCTCAAAGTTTATCATCGAGAATATCATGGAGCAGGTGGTGCGCGACATGCGGGGCAACCCCTTTCTTCTTCTCATGGAGGTGCTGCCCATCCAGAAGGCGATGAAAAGGGCTGGTCGCGCGTCTCTCGCCGAAGCGGCAGGCCCCGCTGAGGTCGCCCCTTCCGGGCCCGACCCATGGCCCGATTCGGTCTACAGCTCTGGGGCGGAAAGTGCCCGCGAGATTATCGCAAAAATAAATGTTCATGAAATTAAAACAGAGGATATACATCTCGCCCCAGGCACGAGCGTCGCCTACACTTGCAAAAAGATAGGCTGGATAACTACACCTGTATTATAAAGGGCGAGCGCTGACAGAGATGATCTAGCCTGTAAAAACGCGGCACGCGGAACGCGGACTGTCCTCGACGCTGGGGGGCCCGCAGTACCTCCTCCAGCGGGGGCGCCCGCAGCGGAACAGCCAGAGGAACCGCCGAAGGATTCGAAGCCCCCCGAGATGAAATTAGGGAGGGAAGTTGATCTATCCCAATCTTCCCAATCGTCGAGTTCGCCCAGGCCACTTGCACTTGATCAGCTGCCGCGTGAGCAGGAGAAGAGGGCCAGCCCAGCCGACGCCGATCCTGCTAGCAATAAATCGCAGCGGTCTGCGGGGAAACCCGCCGAGAGACACATCGCCCCAGAGGGCCAGCAGCGGCCGCTGCAGCAGCAGCGCTCCAAGGCGACAGCACGCCCACGCCGAAAGATCCCGCGCGCCTGCGCGGCCCGACGCCTGGCAGGAATCACAGTTCAAGCTGGGCGCCATCACTAGATGGATCATCCAAAGGAGCCCCCTCATCAATGGGCGGCACGGACTTCAAGCTGTTGGAAACTACCTCAGAGGCATCAGGGGCGGCTCCCAAGATCACCTCATGCCAGTCATCCGTGAGAAGGATAAGGCATCTGGGGGCGCCAGCTCATCGGCAGCGCCTGCATCGCCTGAGCCAATGAGGATGCATGGCGAACCAGCCGCTGCTACTGTGGGGCAACCCGCTGTTGCCCTTGAATTGCCTGGTGCATTGTGGCTATACTGGGAGACTTTGGGCACTGTCAACCAGCAAAGGATTAACCCAGCGTGCAGGCCCTTTGCTGGTGACGGGTCTGACCGTTACAGAGTGGTGCAGTGTGATATCGACTGCACGGCCACCCGCGCTGATGACAATGCTCTTGAACGTCAGCGTGTCTGCAACGTTCTGCCGAGGGAATCTGCCTTCAGTTATCAATCCGAAAGGATGTATCTGAAGGGGGCTTTCAGGAGCAAGAGTATCAGCACATCGCTACTGCATGATCGCGACAAGCGTGAATGCGCCCGCTGGTGGTGGATCCAGCAGGGCGTCGGCAGCTGGACTTCTCCATCGCGGCTCGGTGTGCTACGGCGACTCCCCAGGTGGACTGGCCGATCCAGGGCCCGCGCGCGACCCAATGGCGCCCGGGCCACATGCGCAGGAACGCTGGCGGCCCGCTGGCCTGGCATTCCAAGTGGAAGGCGGAGGCGAAGCTGAGGGGTTCCGACCCGACATGCCAGCAGCAAGAGATGAATTACAGGCTGCTCGAGTTGGGCAGCTGCTGCGACCAGCGCAACTGCGCGGAGCTGGCGGCGTTCGAGCTTGTGCGCCGCCAGATCCAGCTCATCGGGGAACGACGCTACGAGGGGTCAGTGGCTGCCCAGGTGGCGGCTGAAGAGACGAAGTCTGGCAAGGATAAGAAGGCCTCGGGCGCGAATGAGTCATTGCTCGCCGCCGAGGCTGGTCACTACATGGGGACGTCGGCGAGCAAGGGGGCCTCTGCATCGCCTCTGCCTTCGCAGAGTTCATTGCGGAGCAGCTGAAGGCGGAGGCTGCAGTGGCCAAGGCGAGGCGCAACCGCGAGGAGCCGCGGCGCGCGCGTTGTCATTCGGAGGATTCTCCCGGGCGGGCGCAGGCGCCTCGGCGCCGCCCGGGCTATCCCCGGCATTCTCGCGGCGGCCTCGACCTCCACCCCTTTTGTTTCGATGGCTCCAGGAGCTCGCCAGCGAGACGTCTTTCCTCTTCCCGCCCTGGCGGTGGATGCTCGTGCTGACGCCTGCCGCGGCCGTCGTGGGCGACGGCGTGCTCTGCGCGGGGACGATTGGAGGCGATGGGCCAACGACGGCGTCGCGGCCTTGAACAAGCCGGGCGGCCACTCGGCAGCGTCTTCGGCACCGCCAGGCTTGACGGCGTCGGCGGCTCAGGCAAGCGCGGCGATGCGCATCGCCCAGGCCTATCAACCATTCCTTCTCATCCTGAGCATCATGGGGATCATCGTTCTGGCGAAGCAGCCTTGGCAGAGCTGGTCGCAGCGGCGCCCGGTCATTCTACCGACCCCCAGCGCGTCGAGCCCCACGGCGAGGATGTTGTGCCCTGGCCTGCCGCGTCGACGGAGCCAGTTGCCATGGGTCTCGTTGGCCAATCCGAGCGTGATATGTTGCCGGGATGGAGATGGACTATATTCAGAGGTGGTGCGTCTGCTTCGCGCCCGAGAGCGGCGCCAGTGCCGCGGCGGCCCTACGTCGACCCGGCTTTGGCCGAGAACCCCGCGCTGGTTTCGCGGGGAAGTCGTCGGAGGGCGGCGTGATCAGTTTCCGTGCGGCGCGGGCGGCTGGCCCATATGACTTGGGATTTTTCTTCGTCGAGAAAGCTGGCAAGGGCGCGCTCGGGATCGTCTTGGACGCGAGGGCGGCGAATGTGGGGTTCGAGCCGCCGCCCGCAATGATTCTTCCGACGGCAGCGGCGCGGGCCGCCCTCGAGTCGGAGCGCCCCGCGACACTGGCCCAGGGTGACATCCGCTGCGCCTCTTCCCACGCGTTCGCGCCCCGAGTCATGGGGGAGTTTTTCGCGCTCCCGACTTTTTCAAACCGCCTGCTGGGGGTCAAGCAGATCGACGGGAAGCTGCTGGCCATTGATTGCTTCATGCAGCTCACGGCGCGCGTGCCTCCCAATAGGGTGGAGCTGGTCACAGTTGTTCTGCCAGAGCATTATGAGGAGGGCCCTGGTCCAGAACGGTTTCGGCGACGGTGATCTGATCGAGGATGGTCGACCCAACCCTGCGCTGCGTTCGCGGGGCTGCGTGGCCGCAGCTGGCCACGTCGACAACTTCGCCGTCGCGGGCGGTGGCGCGGCCGTCGCCGCCGCCAGAAGGGGCCCTGTCACGCGCGCCTTGGGGTCGCGGGTGCCCCCTGTCCGTTCGATCGACGAGGCATCATCCGTCTCCATTTCCACGGGCCTCAAGGTCAACGGCGACCTGGGCCCTGCGAGAGTGAAGCCCTCCAGCGCCACGAGGCTTCGGCAGGCGATCCTGGCGGTCTCGCGGCGCGGGGCTGCGTCGCCTCGCATGCTCGAAGTCTTGCTGGGGCACATCGCTGGGCCAATGCTTTGCACGAGAGAGGCCCTCTCCATCCTGTCGTCGGTCTATGCGTTCAGGTCTCTGCAGGGCCCTGGAGCGAGGCCCCTGTGGGCCCAGGTGAGGGTCGAGCTGCGGTGCGTCGTTAGCACGTTACCTTTCTGGACGTCGCACATGAACATTCCCTGGGGCACGCGCGTCTCGGCCTCGGACGCTTCCCCTGTCGGCATCGGGGGCGTGCACTCGTCAGCTCGATGGGCCCCGCGTGGCCGAGATGGGGAGGCGGGCGGAGAGGTGGAGGCACAGGATCACGTCATCAGTTTAGGCACGAGCCAACGTGCTGGGTCTGGACGGGCCCCGCGTCGCCCCCGATCTCGCGGAGGCTGTCGTCTTGGACTCGGTCAAGTCGCCCGACCCCGAGGGCTTCGACAAGGGTTTTCTCGAGATCCCAGGGGGCATCATGCAGGCCTCGTCGTGGACCGCCGTCGTCGCCAAGGGTCGCTGGAGCCCGTCCAAGAACATTCTGGAACACGAAGGCGATGCGTCGTGCGATGCTGCGCGGCATGCCACGCGCAACGTGTCACTGCATCATCGCCGCGTCTTCTTTCTCCTCGATAATTTACCTCTGGCTCCTTCTCGTCGATAACTTACCTCTGGCTCTGGCGGCGGGGAGGGGCGGGGGCGGAAGCCCGCCCTTCGGCGGCCCTTGCGGAAGCTGGCAATTCTTGCATTCACTGCCAACCTTCGGCGCCATGCACATCCATGCACGCTGGCTGCCGTCGGAGCTGAACGCGGCCGACTGGCCCTCCCGTCGCGGCATCTTCCATGGCGAACGATTCGCGGAAGCGTTCGATGCACCAGCTGACGGCGCCCTCCTCGAGACAGCTGTCAGTGACAGTCAGGGCCGCCCAGGAGCTGGAGCACCCGCGCCCTCGGGAGTTGGCTGCGGGGGCCATCGGCTTCTTGGAGAGGTCGGCCGTCGCGGATGGGGCGAGAGGTCGGTGCCGATGCCGCTCGTTGCGTTTCCTGGAGTGGTTGGGCCGGCACGAGCACGACTTCTGCGCCGCCAGCCGGCTGGGCGCAGCGGCGGCCCCGGTCCGGACCGACTTGGATTTGGGCGGGTTCGACGCGGCGACGGGCGGGATGACGGTGGCAGCGCTCGGGCACTTCTTGCTTCACCTGCTGGGCGGCAAGCGGCCCCTCCCTCGAGCTGCTCAAGCCGTGGGCGGCTGGCGCGGGCTCGCGCCGCCCCGGATGCGCCAGCCGCCGCCGAGGTCGGCGGCGATGGCGGTGGCGGGGTGGAGCCGATGAACCTGCCCAGCATGGCCGCGTTCGTGGCGCTGGCCTTCCACGCGTGCATGAGGCCGTCGGAGGCTCATCGGCCGCGCGCGGGTTTGCCGGCGCCGCCGATCGCGGGCTCGGGCTTCAACGCCTGGGGCCTCGTCGTGCGCGCCGCGAGGTCGGGCCGCCCCGGCGAGATGGCGGCGGCCGACGAGTCGGTGCTCGTCGACGCCCCCGAGGCCCGGCCCGCGCCGCACGCGCCTACGTTCCGCGCCCCCGCGGACGCGAGCCTCCAGAATTTCAGGCCCGCCGACGCGCGCGCGAAGTTCGCCCGGGCGCTGCTGGAGCTGGGGCTGCTGAAGGAGCCCCCGTCCTCGTGCGCCCTCCGTCTGACCACTAGCTTTCGGGGGCTCGGCCGATAGCGGAGGTGAAGTGAACGAGAGAGGGGGGTGGATCTCAGGCATGTCCTTGAGGCGGCGCGGCAGGCGCATTCGGATGCAGCAGCGGATCAGGGACCCGCCGCCAGACGCGGCCGACTTCGGGGAGCAGGTCTACAGCGGGATGGCGGAACCCATCGAGACCAAGTTCCTGTCAGGCTCCTTCCCGCTGCCAGCGCCTCTCCAGGTGGTGTCAGCCGTTCCTCGGGTCGTGAAGCGCACGTCTGTTCTGACCGTGCGCTAGGTGTTTGGATGAGATCGTCTTTTCGGCTCCCTCATGCGCGGGCGCGCCGCCGTCGTCGGCTCATTTTGCCAGCGGTCGGGCCCCGCGGGGCCCCCATTTGCATTGCGTTGCGTGGGCGCGGTGTGGCAGGCTTGGAGCAGGTCGGAATGCGGGCGTCGGTCTGACCGAGCGGGTCGTCGTCGATCGACTCCTGGATTCGATTCGATCATCGGCGGCTCGTGCTTGCTGTTTTTTTGCCGCGGGGGTCTTGGATCGAGTCTGGGTCGCCTCTTGCTCGCGCGGTCTCGGACCCGCGGGGCCGGTCTGCCCGCGCGCCCTCTCTCGCCAAGCTGCCGTCTTTTTGGCGTGATAATGTCGAGCTGCAAGCCTCCACCAGGATAATTCGTGCGTGTGTCGACCGTTCAGTGCCCGCGCGCCTAGAACATCCACGGTCTAGCCTCATATGGTCTTTGCCTCTGCTGAAAGCATTGACGTGCCGCCCGTCGTTTGATAAAATTGATTCGGCCTCTGCCAGTTTGGGTCCGGCACCCGTTCGGCCACGCGCATTTTTAGCTGGCGGTGCCCTCGGATCCGGCTCGTGGCGCGCGTGGCGTGATGCGCTCGTTCTCGGGACGGCCTCGTGTTCAAATTGACGGCCTCGCGGCCAGAGGCGTAGCTTGCAGACACACAGCTGCGCGCATCCCCGTCAGAGCTGCAGAGTCAGTCGCGGACACCCATTTCACTGCGATTAATGATTTGTCCTGGTCCAGATTGCATGAGATTGCCGGCCTTCTGCCATGATGTAATGTTACACAATATACGTCGGTGCTGCCTGCGAGTGCACACGTCCACTCTTGGAGCCGAGGCATCGTTTCCTGCCGTCGCCGCCGTCAGCTTCTCTAGAAAGAATGTTATTGCCGCGGCGACTCTCCTCAGCATAGAAACAAATTTAGCGCGGCGTGTGCTGGGGGTGGGGATGAGCGGTTTCACGACCTCAACCGTTGTGCTCAAGCTCCCCAGCCCGCTCGCCCTCGCTGGAGGGTATTTTTACAATCGGTCTGAAGTCTGTGCTGCCTGCGAGTGTACACGTCCACTCTTGGAGCCGAGGCGTCGCTTCTTGCCATCGTCACCGTCAGCTTCTCCTAAAACATGTTCTGGCCCCGGCGACCCTCCTCGGCATCAGCATCATCGTCATCATCGTCATGACCATCGTCATCATCATCATCATCATCATCATCACCATCACCATCACCATCACCATCACCATCATCACCACTATCAGAACCGTCAATGCCGTCATTATTTTATTGATCAACATCACCATCATTTTCATCGCCATCACCGTCGTCTTCGTCGTCATTACCACCGTCGTCATCGTCATCGTCGTTGTTGTCGCCCTCGTTATCAGCGCCACCACCATCATCGTCGTCGTCGACGCCGATGTCAGCACCGCCATCACTCGCTTGCCCGAGTCATGGATCTTCACGATACAGGCCCTCGCGTCTCAGCGCCATTTGAGTTGTGCCTAGAAATTCTTGACGTTTCGCGTATCCCCACCAGTCTGACTTTGATTCGCCGTCAGGCTTTTCCGCTGGACTTATGTCTCCAGTCAGTCTGTGTTACCCGTCAGACTCCCTGGATCGACGTCCTCGGGAACGTTCCTACCTGTTCGCATCTGAACTGCTGGGAACGCCTCACGCGCCATTTTGGCTGCGCTCGGTCTCCTCGGTGCCTGTCTTCAGACTCCCTGGATGCACCGTTGCATGTCTCGTTCAGGGGCTGTTCTGCAGACTCCCTGGATTGCACGCTGGCTCTGCCGCCCTGGGCGCTGCCCCCCCCGCCGCCTGATCCGCGGCCCCCGCGCGCGCTCGGCAATTTAGTCGCGGCCGTAGCCCGCCCGCGACCGCCCGCCGCTGGCGCTTCCGCCTGCGGCTGTAAACAAAAAAAAATATCCCCACCAGCCCATCCTACACCAGGCACTCGAACGAAGAGCGCCGATGATCGGCAGCTGTTCTTCTCCCCCTTTTCCTCCTTCTCCTCCGCCTTCTTCGCAGTATTCTGGGTTTCGCGTCCCGCGCGAGCGCTCGATTGAATTTATGTTGAAGCAGTCTTTGGGCGTCTGGGGCCCTTTTAGACGCCATCGGGGCGCTCTGGGGGGGCATCTTGGAGGAAATGTATCAAAGAACAGCAGAGCTTTAATTAGCGTTGCCCCTCCAGGCTGTCTAAAATCGTTTCCTGGACCCCTCTTGGATCGCTCTTGGAGCGCTCTTGGACGCTGTTGAGGCAGTCTTGAGACTCTCTTGGGCCCCTGTTGGGGCCCAGTTGAGACATCTCGGCGCCATCTTGAGGCCTCGGATGGGCTTCGGAAGCGAAAAAGTGAGAACACCAAAAACATTGATGTTCCCTATGGTTTTGAAGCATTTCGGCCTTTTGAGGGCACTCTAATGATGCTCTTGTGGGCACTTCGAACCATCTTGGAGCGGTCTTGGAACGTGTTGGAGCGTCTTCTGAACCATCTTCAGGCATCTTGCGCTATCTTGAGCCATCTTGGAGGCGATCTTGGGCTCTCTGAGGCCCTCTTGGAGCCGTCCTGGGCCATCCTGGACGCTCTGACCGCTCCCCGCCCCTCCTGTCCAGGTCAGTGGGGAGGGGGTAGGGGGAGGGGTAAACCCCTCCCGCCCTAAACCACCGACGCCCAGAGGGCTGGTGGGATTACGGGTGGGTGGATGTGTTGTTGTTCGAGGATTGAGTTGGTGACGCCAAGTTCTTCAACAACAAATGGCACCACGTATATTCCGCCGTATCGCACCCCACCGAGTGCCCCCCTTCATAGATTTATTCTGATGAATTGCGCTCGGAAGATTGCATCCGGTAGCCTTCATTTCGGACTAGATTCAGTATTTCGGACCCAAGCGCTTGCATCATCGCTGCATCGTTACAGGACCCAGACAGCTTCTGGTGCGTTATCCTTTATCCGAGTTTCGAAGATATTCTTGAGTGCGCTACCGAGATGGGAATCAACCGTCGCAAGCTTCCGACTGACCGAGAACTCCCATCGATTGCCGAAGTCTCCCTGTTTTGATCGCCCTATTGGATATCGACTTGTGGCGCGCTGGTGCATTTCAGCGCATGGCCCGCCGCCATGAATTCATCGTTCTCTCCCTACCGTACTTGTCGCTTTCGCTCGTCATCACTGGCCGATGTCGTTGTTCTGTCACTACTCGCGTCTGCGAACCCGTTCGTCGTCGAGCGACGTGGTCTTGCGGCATTTTGCGTTGTGCGACATCTGAAAGAATCACTGCCATGTTCATCGCTGCCGCCGTCGCCCCACTCCACCTCTTGTCGTTGTCGTC